TTCTTTCTTTTTGTCTTTTTGAGACAGGGTCTTGCTGTAGCCCCAGCTGTCCTGGCACTCGCTATGTAGACCAGGCTGGCCTCGAACTCACAAAGATCCACTTGCTTCTAACTCCAGAGTGCTGGGATTAAAGGTGTGTCCCACCATGCCCGGCTGGGATTTCTTTTTTAAAAATTTTATTGTATGAGAATTTCATACCTACATATAATGTATTTTGATTAAACCCACCCCCTTCCCTCCCCCAGTGACTGCAGCCAATCAATGTTTTTCAGACTCATAGTGGTTGTGACTGCATTCCCAAGACCTGTACAAGATCAAGCCAGATAAAATCTGAGCATTGATGGGGGAGAGGGTCATGAAGTGCCACCCAACACTGAAGAAGTATTGGCGATTGATGATTTTTGGGAGAGAGAAAGTCAGAGGTTTCTTGCAGAAAGAAGAAACTTGAAGATAGGCAAAAAGCTTGTCTGAGAAACATTTATGCTTTGAGTGTAAAATGCACCAGGAGCAAATCCTTCCATCTTTCTTTCCTTCTAGTGTTTCTGTCTTTGATATCAGGGTATCAACCTCACAGATAATACTGCCACATACCCTGCACCTCTTTTGCAAATGGTTACAATTTTCTTTAAATGTTGAAATTAGTTGACTAGTGAAGCTCTCTGGGCCTGAGTTTCACTTCCTTAGGTCTGTGGATATTATTTCCATTCCTTCACTTGTTGTACAACCATTCATATTTGTAATTCTTTCAAATAATTAATTATTCTTGAGTGACTTTTCATAACTTATACTTTCCTACAATTTTTTGTCTCTTTTTTTATTGTATATAAACTGTCTACATAATGTTGTATGTTATAGCCCTTTAAGTCTTTAGTTTCTTTAGAGTTAATGATATTTCCTCATCCATGCCAGGTTTGAAAAACCTGGTGTCAACAGTGAGAAATAAGCTGGATGCCAAAACCAACTGCGGTTTCTAGGTAGTATTCCTTCTTTCCTTGGGACAGGAAGATAGTACCACTTGATTGAAAATGGGCAATGTGTCATCTCCTCTCTCTCTCTCTCTCTCTCTCTCTCTCTCTCTCTCTCTCTCTGTCTCTCTCTCCCTCTCCCTCTCCCTCTCCCTCTCCCTCTGTGTGTGTGTGTGTCTCCTCCCCTTCATTTGTTTAGGAAGAATTACATATGTTTTATTATTGCCTAATATTAAATAAATGCCCTGTACAATACAATAATAATTTTACTGTTATCTCCACCTCTCCACCTCTTGTATTTGACTATAACTGACTCTAAGCCAAAAAGTATTATCATATTAGCTTTGGTGATTCCAGGTCAAATATCCTATCTGGTATCCAAACCATGCTGCTAAACTGAATATTCACTCAGATTTAGTGTGATCTATGTTTTTATCTTCATATAATTTTCTCCAGCTTTGCAGATAGAATTCACAACATAAAAAATAGGAGAAAGGGTACATGTATGAGAGAGAGAATGAATATGTGTGCATGTGTGTTTGTTAGCAACAAGGTAAAACAAAAAATATGTACTTTTTAAAATAGTAAAATCATGAAAATGATCAGCTGATTCTGTTAATAATAGTGAAATATTCTTGTTAATTGTTTTGTGCAACCAAAATTGAATACTTCATAGGAAATAAAGGAAATTCAACTTGATATATCCATCACCGATCACATGCCCTGTACCTAAAAGTGAAATAAAGTTACAAATAAAATAAGCAATCACCTAGCAGTGATCAGCCACCAATAGTTCCTCAGCTAAGGTTGGGGCTCCCAACCCATTTCCTCAGTTCTGTTTTGGGTTTTTGTTTGGTTTGAGTTTCCACAGGTCCTGCCCATGCCATCTCCATTGCTTGGTGAGTTAGTCTTCTTCGGAGGAGGGATCAGGCTCCAGTGGAGGAACTCACACCAAGAGACACCTGGGGACACAGACTTCACTCAACAGACCTTTACATATATGACAGAGTACATGAGGTCTAGTGGGGGTAAGACTATTGGAGAGTTCAGATAGGGGAGCAGGTCTTAATATGATTAGGAGATATTATATGAACTGCAAAAAAATTCAATAAAAATATATACTAAAAACAAATCAGAGTGATACTGGCTTCATAGAAGGAGTTTGGGAATTCTTCTGTTTCTATATTTTTGAATAATTTAAGCAGTATTAGTTGTAGATTTTGTTTGACTGTCTGGTAGAATTCTGCTACGACTCCATTTGGGCCTGGGTTTTTTGTAGTCAGGAGGCTTTTTATTACCCTTTCAATTTCCTTATTTGTTATGGGTTTGTTTAAGCTGTTGATTGCCTCTTGCTTTAACTTTGGTGGTGGCCATGATTTTAGAAATCCATCTATTTCTTTTAGGCAAATTAAAGAGATTATAGATTTTTAAAGCATTTCCTTACAATGGTTTGATATTTTTTGGTGTCTGTTGTGATGTTTCCCCTTTCGTCTTTGATTTTGTTGATTTGTATTTGTTCTTTCTTTCTTTTGGTTAACTGAGCTAAGGGTCTGTTTATCTTGTTTAACCTTTCAAAGAACCAGCTCTTATAGCCATTGATTTTTTTTTGTATTGTTTTCTTTGTTTCTATTTCATTAATTGCCGCTCTGAGTTTTATTATTCCTTCCTGTCTACTAGGCCTGGGGTTGGTTTGTTCTTGCCTTTCCAGAGTCTTGAGTTGTATTGTCAAGTCGTTTACATGTGCTCTTTCTGATTTCTTAATGTAGGCGCTAAGAGCTATAAACTTCCCTCTTAGGACTGCTTTTAGTGTGTCCCAGAGGTTTTCTTGTGTTGTGTTCTCATCTTCATTTTGTTCCAGGATGTTTGCTGTTGATTATAAGCTTTATTGTGCTGTGGCCTGATAGAAGGAATTATTTCAATTTTTTTTTTTGTATTTGTTGAGACTTGTTTTGTGCCCCAGAATGTGGTCAATTTTAGAGTTACTTGCATGAGCTGCTGAACTTTGTTTGCTGTTGATTATAAGCTTTATTGCGCTGTGGCCTGATAGAAGGAATTATTTCAATTTTTTTTTGTATTTGTTGAGACTTATTTTGTGCCCCAGAATGTGGTCAATTTTAGAGTTACTTGCATGAGCTGCTGAGTAGAAAGTGTATTCCTTGGTCATTAGGTAGACTATTCTGTATATATCTGTTAGGTCCATTTCATGTAGCATGTCACTTAATTCAGATGTCTCTCTGTTCATCCTTTGTCCCATTGACCTGTCTATTGAAGACAGTGGGGTATTAAAGCTAGTAAGACAGATAGGGTCCAAGTCCACATCACCTGTGGAGATTCGGGACACAGGAACTCATCGGGTCACTCCTGCTACCCATTGCAGGGGATAAGGAAATGTTGTTTGCTCTACCATGATCCCCTGAAATATTCCACCAGTTTTCTGAGAAGTACTGGGGACTCGATGGCCTCCCCGAGAAGTGAGAATTTGCAGATATGAGTCTTGGCTGAAGTCAAGGTCATGCAGATCAAGAGAATGCCACCGAACATACCTGCTCAACACCTTTTTAATATTCACTTTATAAACAACCTGCATTTAGGAAATTTAAGAGTCACTGCCTTGTGATGGATGGATTTTCTACATTGTCTTAAAGGCCCACTTTCTGCTGTATATTTTCCACTTTTATTAAGACGTTAATAGCTGCTCATATGCAGGGTTACAGAGTGACTCTGTAGAAATGTCAGATTTATTCTTTGAGTTCTGAGACAGGAAAATCACATTCTGGGAAAAAGAAAATATGTTAAGTTTCAGATTTCAATCAGGTTTAACTGGATACATTTATTTAATACATTTATATCTATAGATATAAAACAGGATTTATACTGAGCTCAATATTGTATAACTGTATTAATTCAACTGTGAACCTAAAATTTTACAGCCAATTTTGAAAAAAATGCATCTTAGCTCAGAAAATTGTTATTGAATATGTCAATGCTGTTTAAAGCTGTAGCTTCTTCTAAAAAATAAAAAAGTAAGTTAAAATAAAAATACAAATGTATTCAAACTTTTACATAAAATTCATACCTATTTCAGGATGAATATACTACATCATTGTTCTCAAAATATTTGATGTTCATCCTTCATTATTTATTCTACAATATATGAGTAAAATTTTGGTTTAAAACAAAGTCTTTAAGTGAAGCCATGAATTACTAGACGTGGTAAGGTAGTGTCAAATGTCATGTGATTCAACAATATTTCTTTCTTTCTTCAATGTCTTTTGATTCAAGAAGGAATTTTAAGATCACAAGGCAGGAAAAGCAGAGCCTAAGCTGTTGACTGAATACATTCAATTGTGTAAATAGCCTTTACCAGGTCAAGACTACTAAAGAGACTAATTGCTATAAGGAGAAAATATGCCTGTTTAAAAGTGAGGCAACAAGGGTCCAGTGTCCTGAGCTTAGGCAAGCTCACAGCATAACGTAAAGAGAGACATTTAACTTCCCAGAGCCTCAGGGTTTGCAAAATGGGAGGAAAGCCAGGTGATTTCTCCAGTTCCACTGTTTCATGTGCATTCAGTCCTCACCAGCCACTCAACTGTCTTCTTCCTCCAGCATCTCCTGTTGTCCCTCACTGTCAAAACCATCTGCTGTTCATCTCATAGTGACTGAGTATTCCCTCTCTTATTCTTGGTGACAGAGGTCAATCATCCCAGGGTAACATGAGGCAAGGTTCAGGATAACTTTCAACACTCACCCCAGGGAAGTCAGAGTGGGCCTGCTTCCACCACAACACAGCAGTGAGCACAGCCAGGCTGAGCTCCAGCACACTGCAGATCAGCATCACAGACATGGATCCCTGAATTCAGGAGAGAAGAGATTGGTGGTGACTGAGTCAGCTGAAGCCTTTATGCCTGGGTGGGAGGTTCTTATAGAGATGTAATCATCTCTACCATCAGACAGTGCAGCAGGGACAGCATCAGGAAGGAAAACTAATCCTCCCAAACAGAATCTGGCTTAAATCAGTGCCCCTGCTTCTTCCTGGAGAGGAAGATGAAGAGAAACTAAATCAACAAGCCATTTTATACCACTGTCTCTCAGCCCTCTGATGCAGGGGACTCAGGTGGCAGCATTTACTCAGTGAGGGAGCAGAGTGGATAATAAATGCCAGGCCAGAGTCCATAGCTCCACCCCAGCCTTTCCAGTGCTGCTCTGAGTGAGCCTGGACAAGTCTCAGCTCTCCACCTTCTGTCTGCTCAATTCTCACATGCCTATAATGCCAGTTCTTTCTCCTGGTTGAGTGAGGTTTGGACTGTGCGAGCTCTTTGTAAAATTTTGTATTGATAGACCATTTTTCACCTAATGCATTTCTTTGGCCTATTTTTATGGCCACAAGATGTAGAAAAACAATCAAGTTTCTACAATTTCTAACATCTAAAAACACTCAAAGAAGGGTCTACATCAGCCCAATGTCATTAGCATAGGGCCTGCCATTTCTGTCCTCAGGAGTCTCTCATGGAAGCCATTTGATTAAAGAAAGGAAGATAATGTCATTTCACAAGTCCCTAGCTTATTTGCAAAGAAGTAAAGGGGAGATAGAACTTGTTTACATCACCTAGACATTTGTCCCCACAAATACTCTCAACTCAGAAGCTAACTTACAAGGTAAAACTACCCTACCATGCATTCACACCACATCCAGTGTACAATTTCTCCCTCACTTGTACAGAATATTTCCTAGATTAGGCTTTGCTATACCACATGTTAATTTGTTGCAGTTACCATCAACCTTATTTACACATGCTTTTGCTTATTGTGGTTTCCTAACTAAGACAGGAGCACCAGGGCTCAGCATTAGGAGTTAAGTCAATAGGTTGGCCAGACTTTTTCTCTGGCCATCTTCCAGCTCTATCTTTTACTGATCTCACTTTTATGGTAATAGGACAATGGATATTCTTCCAATAAGATGGAGTCTCCTTATGTCACTGTCAGTTACTGGTCTACATTTCCTCTTATTTCTTTTCTTTTCATGAAATAAATCCTATTTCTTTATATTGTAATAAGGCATCAGTGAGCTTGCCTTCACATGTGACCAGTGCTGCTCATTAATGTGATCACTGGAACTAAAAGCCTGGGTTTCCATCCCCATATTCCCACACTCTATTTCTCAGTGGTCATTGCTCATACCAGCTCACGCCCACAACCACACACATGTACCACGTTTCCTTGTTGGCATTTCCTGATTATCTGGTTCTTTCTGGTACATTTGTCTTTTTTAATACTCCTCTATGGACCAAAGCTCTCTTGGCTTGACAACCTCATAATTTATGCCTCTAAAAACTGATGTTGTTTCTTAATTCTTAAGAAACTCTGATAACAATGATCTTTATAGTTCTATCATCTACCTTATTTGGTAATCTTCCCTCAACTCCTTGCCAACCTATCTAACACCTTTGGGTAGCATTTCAATATTGTGACCATATTTTTCATGACTCTGGCCTTAGTTTAACACACAAGCAGAAATGAATAGAAAGTTTCAAACAAAGGAATAAGAAGAAGTCACAGCTTCCCCAAATCTTTAAAAGTTGGAGCATTCCATTTAGAAACTCTTACCATCAGGGCAGCATTGGCAGTATGGCAGCTCCTGCTAGGTGGCTCAGGGTGATGGAAATAGCTGTAATCTAGGGTTGGTTTAGATTCTACGCTCAGCTCGCACTGCTGCAAGGCTGGATCCAAAGCAGCCATGTTGATAGACAGAATAACGATGCCCACGAGGGCAAAAGGAACACTCAGAATGCTCATGGCCAGGCTGCTGTGAACCTGAAATGAGCAACACACATCTTATAATTCCTTTCATGATGTTTCAGCAACTTCTACTATTTTCTTCTTTAAGGGGATAAAAATTGAATAGTCTGTTTATGCCTGTTAATATCTACAAACATATGAATGCAGATAGCAAATTATGATTGAATAAATGAATAGAATTCCATTCCAGACAGCACCTTAGAGATGGGGAATAAAATATTCCCTTCCTAATATTTTCATCCATGAAAGAAAGTGGATCCCCATGATGTAAGCCTGAAAAAAATCTCTAGAGATTGTAGGCAAAGGTGGAGATGCAGACACCAACGTTTGCCTGTTCACCAACAATCTGGGTGCCATAGTCTAGTTGTTACATGCCCTCCCAAAGGCCAAGCATTAGATAGCCCCCAGGTAGATAATAGTGTGTGTTGGTAGAACCTTTAGGAAGTCCAGCCTGATCCAAGGTCATGCCTTTGTTTCCCAGTGTGCTACTTCCTTTATAGTGGTTCAAGAGAACAGATCCATAAAACCATGCACCAAAACATCTAAAATGTGAGCCCAAATAAACCTTTCTTCTTTATAAGTTGATTCATCCCAGGGTCTGTTGCAGTAATGTAAAACTGACTTATGCTTGGAGACCCCTATGGAGGCATCAGCCACACAGGAGCATCAGGTGATGCAGTCAGCTCCTCCCAGCACACTAACTCTCTGAAAAGCACACGCAACCAAAGATGAATGTGAGGACATGGTTCTCAGGGCCAGAGAGACCCTGGAGTCTGCACAACTATATGACTGGCCATATCAAGGGCCAGGGATTGAAGGTGGTAAGCAGAGACCTCCACATAGTACAGAGAGTGGATGGTATAATCTGTGGGAAACAGTGTGAGGCAGAAAGAAACAGGTTGGGACTAGATGAATGTCAGGAATTTGGTGCCACGGTGCCAGAGTTCCCTGGACTCTCACTGTCCTCAAGTATTCCTCTTATGAGCAGAATTCTGTCTGGTTTTTTAAAGTATTTTATTTAGTAGGTGAGATTATATACCAAACTCATAACAGACATGTATTTTTATAAGTCAATTGGCTTCACTACTGGAAAGGAAAATGAAAGTTTGTGGTAGACTTTGTTATTTTGACAAAACATCTCATGTGAGCAACTTAAATTATATATTTTGACTCACAGGTTCAGAGATTTCATCTCATCCTTGTGGAGATGGCAGAGAACAATTCACCTCAGGGCAAATGAGAGAGAAAGACAGAGATTATAGATAGATAGATAGATAGATAGATAGATAGATAGATAGGTAGATAGGTAGATAGATAGATGATAGATAGATGATAGATAGATGATAGATAGATAGATGATAGATGATAGATGATAGATAGATAGATGATAGATAGATAGATAGATAGATAGATAGATAGATAGATAGACAGATAGACAGAGCCTATGCTAAGTGGATTTCTCTCTCCCTGCATTTTACTCCTTCTATGTCCTCATCTGTGGGATGGCACCATCATCTAAACACACAACGAACCCAGAGGTTTGCTTTACTAATCTAGGTGTTCTTCAAATTCAGTCAAGTTGTGGATTAAGATGAACAATCACAGTCTGTTACCTATAAGAAAGCAGAATTGTTTCATTGATTCCTGGGTACTGGTCTTGGGTATCATGTAGACTTTGATTTTGGGCACCACAATAGGTAGGAAGAATACACATTGCACAAGTTTACAGATAAGCCAGAATCCATTCCTAAATTTAATAAATAGCTGTTCTAGGGCTTGATTGCAGATAGCCTGGCCCTGACGAGTTCTCTCTACATTACATCCCAATTATTGTAGGATATAGCTCTCGTACTCACCAAAGGCTTAATCGTATTTTGTTCTGTGATGACTGATAGAATCCCAGAGATGACAAACTGCTCAGGCAAGATAAAAATGTTTTCAGGTCAGTTTCTATGTACAGAATGGCTACAATGTTACTATATGATATTTATGAGAAACTCAAATTGGAAAAGTCCTGGTAACACCTGACCAGTGATTTAAGATATATGTAGATACATATATCCCTTTACCCATTTAATGTCTAGAAAACATGAGAAAAGACAGATGTGAACAGGAATCTACACCATAAAATTAATGAATAACTTAATTGGTAACAAAAAAGTATTTTTTAATGAGAAAGGAAAATTTGGGAGTTAGATGTCTTTGGAAAGAACATGAGCTCATGGTTCCAAAAGAAAAAGAACAAGGAGTAATCATTTGGATTCCCCCCAACTTTCATTCATAGGGGTCTATGCTCTTTACTGATTTGTATGAAATCATATTTACATTCTTGAATAAATCCCCCCTGTCCATGTTGAATTCTCTTTCTCATGTGCTGTCAAATTCAGTGTTCGAGTATTTTGGTGAAGAGTTTTGTACCTACGTTCTCAGGAATTTGGTCTGTAATTTCTTTTGATTATAATATCTTTGTGTAAAAGCTTTGGTATCAGGATAATGTTGTCTCTCAAAATGGGCTTGGAAGTGTATCTTTCTCATTAATAATTTTGTAACGCTTTGAAACTTTAGGGAAATGATGCAAATACTAAATACTGATGTATGAAGCTCTCAAAAATAATATATTAAAAATGTCTTTGAAAGTGATTTGTACTAGTCTTTAAAGAAAAGACGTTGGAATATTAACTGTCACAGAAGAACAGAAACAGGACTTGGTTGAGGGGTCCAGAGACTAAGAAAAGCAAGAACAAGAGGAAGGGGAGGCTGTTGGCAGGAGACCTTTAACACTGCTCAGAAAATCATATAGGACTGGAGAGACAGCTCAGTGGTTAAAAGCACTGGGTTCGATTCCCAGCACCCACATGGTAGCTAACAACCATCCATAGCTCTAATTCCAGGGGATCCAATGCCCTCTTCTGACCTCTGCAAGCATTGCACGAAATGGGTGTTTTTACATGCATGCAGGTGATAGACTGATACACATAAAATAAAAATAATAAATAAAATATTTTAAGAAGAAAATCAAATTGTTTTTTCCTCATTCCTTAGATGTAAGGAAACTAAGTAGCAGAAAAAAACGTAAATGTATTAAAAATTACAAGAAAATCTGTGGTTTCAGTTCTGCAGAATTAAGTAGCCTTCTCATACACTTAAATAATGGTGTTTTACTCTGTGACTCTGAAGATTGAATCGAGAGCCTTGTGCAAGCTACTCAAATGCTCTTCTGCTCAGTTATAACACCAGCTTTAAATAAACGTTCTTAAGACCGAAAGGAATTAAGGACCCCATCCCCTGTGGGCTATGCTTAGTGACATGTAAGGACCACAGTGTAGAAGGAAAGAAAAGTAGTGTTAAAGCACGGAACCTGGAAAACCACAATCAGTGTTCACTCGACAGGGACATGGTGTTGACAAGCATTTTTGTGTGACCTGACAGATGGCATGTAATTTCTCTCATCTTTACCTAATCATTACCCTGCCTTCAGTGTTAGATTAAGAAAATACCGGATGGACCAAAGATTTAGGAATATTTCCCAAAAATCTTGGCTAGAGATTATCAAAGTCATCAAGAATGAGGAAAGTCTGGGAAGGTTTAGATGAGGAAATCTAGAGGAGTCGTGGGAGATGATAGCCTGGGGAATGCAGTGCTTAGGGACCAGGACATTTGTGAAAAAATGCTGAAAATAAAATGTTAACCTGGGTTAACTGAAGAAGAAAACAAGGATAAGGAAAAGGTGGAGCTCTGGATACATCAAAGCAACAAGTGCAGCAAAAACAAAAATAGTCACTGAGATGCAAAAGCAGGTGGGAAGCCACAGTGGGAAAAACAAAACAAGCAGCAACAACAACAAAAGAACCCCAAACTTCATTGTGAGTGGGACTCATCCTCATCAGTCAACAGAACTGGCCTCTGTGGAAAGGACTTCACTCCTCTTGGCCCAGACATGCAGCTGTCTCAGAGGAATTTCCAGTTCACCACTGAAGCAAAGACAGCTGCTCACACCACCCTGGGAGCCTCCCACAAAGTCAAATCCTAGGGACGAAAATGCTCCCGCAGCATCTTGCTGTTTACACAGGAGAACAAGTTCTAGCATTGACCTATTGCTCCAGAAGACAGAAAGGTAGCCAGAGGACAGATGAGGACTGTACAGTGTAGACCTTTCCTGTTCTCCCTATCTTCCCTTAAACCGCACTGTACTTACACACAAGGCTCCTACAAACGGGTAGCCAGATTTTACCAGGAGGGAAAAGACTGGAGTAAAATGTGGGGAGGTGGGAACAGATGCCAGAATGATCCCCAGACTCAGCACCATCACACCACAGAAGATCTGGATCGTCTGTTGGAAGAAGAGAAGTTGAAGATTAAAAACAGCAACAAAGGATGGAGCCTTCCCACCTCTCCCATGGTGCTTCTGCATGTCTATCACCTTCTGCGATGTCCCAGTGCACATACACTGTGAAAGCTCTGAGGAGAGAGGCAGGAAAGGGCATCCAGGCAAGGGTGCAGTTCTGCCAGAGCCTCGGGCCCCCATTAGGCATTTCTGCCTCTCAAACCCTGGCACAGTCCTGACCACTGCTCCCTGCTCCTGGCAAGTGATGAGCTCTGTGAGCCCATGATTAGTGCATGTGGGAACCAGAGATATCTGAAAACTCTCCCACTCTTTTGAGTCCTGGGGTACTGAAACTCCTCCCCACATCTCTCAGAGCACACTGAATACAACACAAAACAAGACTCTTTCCTAGCTCCACAGCCTCTTCAGTCCAGATTTCTATTTTGCAATCCCAACAATCTATTTTAAGAGGGAAAATTTGCCTTCCTGACATCTACCTCATCTCAGGCTCTCACAACTCTATTGGCATTGATTGAGCAGTTTCCTAAATGTTTTGTGGCATCACCCTCACAAGAACCCATATGACTATATGTCTAAGACAAACCTATCAGTCACATCAAGTGAAACCTAGTTGCACACAGGTTCCCCACAGATGATGTCAATGCAAAGACAACGCTGAAAGCCACAGCTCAAATGTTCTTCCAGGTTCTAAATACATCCTTTCTTATGTCCTCCCTTGACCCAACTGAGTTTCTTAAGAAAGTCCTGAATGAGAAGAGAGAGACAGACAAAACGTATATAACATCTCTGTTCCTTAAAGAGAGTGAGTAAAGAGGAAAAGGGAGAGACCTTTCCCTGTCATTTGCAACGAGAGCAAAGATTTCCTTGGGAAAATCAGTAAAGTTTACTGAACATTCAGTTGGTGAGTACATAGTGTGTTTATTATATATTGTATGTATGTATGTATGTGTGTGTGTGTGTGTGTGTGTGTGACTGCTCACATAGTAATTCTTTACCATTATTTTCAGAAAGGAAATATTAGGAAATACTTTTCAAAATTGAAACAAAAACCAATAAATCAACAAAACTTCAATTACTCATGTTCAGAATAAAGGGAAAAATTCTCATTTTGTGGAAAGCCCTGGGGAAGATAGAAGCAGCTATGCAAGGAGCTTTCGCTGGTCTGCAACTGGTCTGTAGTATCACTGGCAAAACCCACACATAGAGTGGCTCTCTAGTCCAAAGACACAATGTCTCCTCTCTCTCTGCCCTACATCTACCCCCAGAATGTTCTGAGTTGGATTACCACCATCACTTTGATCTCCGCCTTTAGAGATTTCTTCAGGCTATCTGGACTCTGGTGGGTAGGTTGAGGTTTGCTTGTTTGGGGAAAGTTGGTTCCATTTGATGTAATCACTGTAACAGCCTCGTTGGTCATTACTTGTGATATCATGATGGGACTTGCAAGGCTGGAAGAAACAATCAATTCAACTGTTTAAAAAGCTTTGTTTCCAGCTTGACTTTCAAATCTGTAGATGATTATTTGCACCTTAGTGCAGTTTTAACCTGCCTTTCTGGGTGTGAAATTGGAGGGACAGAGAAATGAAAAACCACATACCCTTGGATTCAGGGGTATATTTTTCATGTTTGACACAATCTGATGATTTTAGATAACCACATCAGAGGAAGGAAGGGACAGCTTAAATCTCCACAGGCTGCAGTATCTACAGCCAAATATTCACATAAAATTTGAAAAACAGGGTTGATGAGAAGGTTGAGCAGGTAAAAGCCCTGGCAGCCAAGTCTGAAAGCCCTGAGTTTGACCTCCTGGATCCACATGGAGGGAAAGGAAAGAACCAACTTCCACAAATTCTCTGACTTTCACGTGCATGCTTTGACGTATGTACATGTGTGCATGCATGCATGTACACACAAATAGAGAAAACTGAGAAATGCAGCTATTTCCTTTTCCTTAATGCTTCCCTGTTCAAGTTCACTGCCCTTTACTGATGAATTTCACCATCAAGGTTTCTCCACGGTCATGAGCTATGATTGGGATTCAACCTTCAGTCTTTATCAGTTTGGGTTAAATATTATTCAGTCTACTTAACTACAAACTAGCACTTGTTTACTTTTTGTCTAAGCAACATTTTCCACACTAACCCTACATATTTTATGACATTTTTGTAGACATTATCCTGAAGTGCTTCTAATCATTACAACAATCCCATATGCTTGATGATTAGCAAAATCATAACCAGAAAGGAAAATCAGAATTAAAAGCTTTGTTAATGTATGGAAAGAATGCGTGCATCGTATAATGACATGAACTCAGTGCTAGATAAATAGTTTTCAATATTAGTAATTCACACACAGTTTGGGTTCTGGGCCCCAGATAGTCCTGAGTCTGGAGCACTTGCAGAATTCTCCAGCTCTTGTTTTTTTTTTTCCCCCCACTTTCCCACCTGATGATGGCAACCTGTGTCTGAGTTTATTCAGCCTGGAAGAGTAGGTATATGCAGTGATATGAGAAGTCATTGTGTCAGAACCTGAGGTCAAGGCTAGGACCGTCCTCTTATTTATCTAAGGACCAAGTTGCCTGTGGAATTAGTTGGTGAACTCAGCTGGGCTCTTTTCTCGGCACCATTCTCAGCCCATGGGAGCCTTGGGAAGGATAAGAGCTCTGTTCCTATCAGATGTATAACCTGAGGTTAGTGACCCACAATATTGTGCAGCTAGAAATACCAGGGGCATCATTAAGCCAGATGCTCCTTCCCTTTGCCCACTATGGTTCTGAGATGCTCCAGTGTCTAGACCACGTTCATGACCTTCAGTCAGTTTTTCTGGTAATACAGTCACAGAAAGAGGGTTGAATAGAAAAAAGTCTTTTCAGCATTGCTTACCTGAGCCCTTGGACCTTCCTGTTTGTCCCAGCAGAGTTCTCAAGAACTCCTAAGAGCTTTTAACTCTGGGCTATCAGAGTCTGATCCTCAGTTCCTTTGTAGTCTGCTGAGTCACCAGCCCTTCTTATTCCAGTGTTTACTGCTGCACAGGATGTGATACTTTCAGGCTGTGGATGTGTGAAATGTTCCTGTACTTCCTTCTTCATAAACTCCAATAACTTGAGAGAACCCCCTGGTATAACCAGTGCTGGCAGAGTGCAAGGTCATGGGCTGTGTACCCACCAGCACCATGTAATACACAAGTCTACATCCTTGAGCCTCATTTTTCTATGTGTTAAGCAGAGAACAGAATCAACCTTTGAAAATTGTTATGAAGATGAGAGAAAATGATTTTGAAAGGCTTGTTTTCTGTTTTTCATTTTTAAATTGAATTTTTGCAAATTCCATAAGCAAATGAAATTTGACCATATTTAGATCCCCTCCCCTACCTGCTCTCCCCTTACTACCCTTCACCAAAGTTTCTGCATGCTAATATATAAGGCCTATAGAATCAGGTTGGTGCCCCAATTGCCCTTCACTGTGAGTTCATCCACAAGAGCCTGGCAAACCGACCAAGAGTGTCACCCTTAAATGAGACTGACTCACTCCCTCTAAGCAGCCACTGATTGCCAATAGTTCTTCAGGTATGATTTGGGCTTCTTATCCACTTCCCCGCATCTATGCTAGAATTTTATATTGCTTGAGCTTACTTGGGACATGGGGAAGCTGTCACCATTGCTCTGAGTTCATATGAGTAATTGACCAGCTGTTTGTTTCCTCTGGCTCTTATAATCTTTCTGTCCCCACTTCTGCAATGATCCCTGAACCTTGAGAGACAAATTTTGGCATAGGAGTCCTATTGTCTTACTTCTAAGGAACATACTGTAAGATGCCACAATTTTTAATAATATTTCTAGGAATATTAATAAATAGAACATTTCATAGTACATAACAAACTCTCATAGAAATGATAACCTTATGGCTTTCAAAGAACATTCAACAATATATAATATTACTATTCATAATATTAATAATGAAACATTAAAATATTTTGTTACTTTGTTATTTATACTTATTTTTTCTTCGGTCAGTGGCTCAGCCTCTGGACAGGCTGCAAACAGCTTTTAAGCCCTCATTGACTAATTGCTGTTTACTCTCGAGCCCTTCTTGTTTCCTTCCCATAACCTATAGACCTTTTCTCCAACAGTGAAGATGCTCTGAGGAAAGACTGGATGATTCTAGAAAACTTAGGAATCAGGATGAGGACCAACATGACCTGGGAAGGTTCAACATGATCTGACTGTCTTGATGTCAAAGAATTGCCAGTTGGGATAATTTCATGAAGGCAGATGTCCCTGTGGCCTGTCAGGCCCTTGGGTTGTCATTCTTTGGAAGCTGAGTTTTATGTAAGTGTGCAGGGGAACAAGAGCCAGCTGTCGCCACTACACAGATCCACTCTGGATGCTTCCTTCCTCCTTTCTTTGGAGTCTGCCAGAAGGAACCAGGACCCAGTGCATGAGCTGTCACTGTCGTGTCAGTTGATGGTGCTTCTGTTCTTCACACATGAACTCTTTTGCTGAAAGCAGGAGTTAAGAAATGGAATTTCATCATCCCAGAGTAGCTCAGAGATCAAGTCCGTTCAAAACTCCTAAGGAAGACGGAGGGAATGAACTTCTTCGGGAATCTGTGGAAAGGGGTTCTGATCTCCTGGTGCCCTTTCTACATTCCCAAGATGCCTGCTGTCGCTGTCCCCTTCTCATCATACTCTGTAACCCTATCACTGTCCCAGAATCCAGGGAGTTAGTGGGGTGCATTTCTTCTCATGACAAAGAAGAAGCCTGGCCCTATGGGACCACCACATCAACTTTGACTCCAGGAGACTTTGCTAATAAACTAGCTAAATCTGGTGGCCCAAGATTCCCTCTGCAGTCTCATGCACTCTCTGTGCTCTTATAATTTTTAAGCCTTTTAGAAAAATTTAAAAGATTATGCAAGATAACACACGTAAGGTGCTTAGTACAGAGTCATATCAATGTAGTAACCTGACAGTGGTGTATGTATATGTATTCTATTATCCCATCTCTACTCCATCCACCCATGTATTCTCTCTGCCAATCCCTCTCTCTCTCTCTCTCTCTCTCATATTTGTGGAGAGAATTTTGAACAAGATACTCCTCTCTCTAACCTCAGCTTAGTTTTTTTTTCAGTTTTTATCCATTTATTGATCACTTACATGTATAACAACTGATATGGTTGGAAAAATTCTCAGTTTTTCTATCCATCCACGGTATCATTCATGATGCTTCTGGAAAACTTTTTTATTTTACAAAAAATTTATTGAGAATTTCATACATACATATAAGGTGTTTTGATCAAATCCATGCCTGCTCCCTCCCCTCCAACATTCCCCCCTCTGAAGAGGTTTTATATTCTCCATTGTTTCCAGAGTCTGCAGTCCATCACCGTAACCTGGAGGCAAAACACAGATTCAGCAATAACTGATTGTCCTCTAGAGGAGGACTTCTCAAAAGTAATTTCTGATTGCACTTTGGGCAGATAAATACTTTCTGTAGAGACTTTCTGGTGTACTGTAGAGTATCTGTGTGTGTTCCTGGGGGAGGTAACCTTCACACTAGTGCGACAGCCAGTGTCACCCGTATAGCCAAATGGCTACCAATGAACAAAAGAAATTGCCCTCACCCCCATCTTCAGAACTCTGATCTAGGAGCACAAGCATTTTCTCAGAAAAATGGTGACCTCTGTGCTACCGTAAATGTGCAAGAATTGGCATTTTTCAAAATCAAATTAATGTATTATTTTTAATTTAAAAATTTTTAATTATGCTTGAAGTGCATACAATTCACCTTGTTAGCCATTGCAAGCACACAGTTCAGTGGCACTAATTACAGTCTCATTGTGGGGTAGATCTCCAGAGCTTTTTCATCCTGTAAAACAAAAACTGAACCCACTGACCAACTGCCTGTGTCCTCAGGACCTGTCCTTCAAACTGTCACGCTACTTTCTCTTTCTGGAGATTTCTAGGACTTTGTGTAATGTTTCATATGATTCATGCAATATGTGTATGTGTATGACTATGTGTGTAAGTACATGTGTGCATGGATATATGTGTGTATATGTGTGCATATGTGTATATATCTGGACATGTGTGTATGTATATGCATGTGAATGTGTGTTTATGTGTGCATGTGTGTATGTATGTGCATGTGTGTATGTATGTATATGGATCTGTATGTGTGCATGTGTATGTGTGTTTATGTATGTGTGTATGTGTATATGTGTATATGTATGAGTGTTAATATGTATGTATGCATATGTATGTATGTCTATATGTGTGTATATGTGTGTTTATATGTGTATGTGCCTGGCTCAATTCACGTAGTACCATACCCTCAACTTTATTTTTACTGTAGCGTGTGACAAGATTTCTTTTTCTTAATTACATTTATTCAATTTCTTGTGTGTCTCTGGGAGCATACGTGTGTGTGAATGTATGTGTGTGCATGTGTGTGGGTGCGGCAGTCCATGGCACATATGTGTAGGTAAGCAGACAACTTAGGGAGTCGGTTCTCTTCTTCTTACATGTGAACTGTGAAGACTGAAATGCTGTTAGGCTTCTCAGCAGGCGCCTTTACGCACTAAGCCATATCACCAAGCCCAGGGTTTTTAAAAAACTGATTCTAGTATCATTTTCTGTACCTGGGTTACTTCTGCCTCATAGCTCTTGTGAATAATGCAAAGGACACATCACTTACAGATTTTTGTTTCCCCAGGATTGTTTATGCTAGACATATTTTGTTCCTTTGGTTGAATCATGTTTTCCTGATAATCGGTATGGTTATTATGAAATATGACAATTAGTTTTGTGCAGAGAAAGGCTTTTGATGATCAGCAGAGATAGAGATTATAGGACTCTTCAAAACACCTTGGAATGCATTTGCCAGTTAATTTTGTCAGAAAATTGGTGTAATTTTCCAGTTAAAGCTGCTTCCTTTGGATTCAGCATGTTATAATTTTTCCCCTAGTGGCTTTCTGTGGTACTGCAGCCTCTTTGGTGCAGCTCTCTTTGCTCAGAAGCCTCCAACATGGCGTGCAAACTGTGCCAAGTCAGCTCTGTGTCAGATGAGACAGAAGACGGACTTCCCTCCATGGTCCATGCATCCTGTGGTGTTCAGAGAGAAGCACAGAGCCGGATGTTTCCTTCCAAGCACGTTGCAAAGGTAAGAGAAGAGTCAGGATTAGTAAAATGACATCAATTCTTTGCGATTGTGGGGAGGACTCCAACTACTAGGGGTAAAAAAATCTCCTTTTCTTTTCCTTGGCTCATCTTTTCCTCTATTCTTCCCATGCACCCCCCTCACACACACTTTGTGCCCAGAACTTTAAGGAAAGAGGTCAAAATGTCCTAAATGTTTGAAAAGAAGAACATAAAAACATTATTTTACCATAACTTCTGTCTTACACATCTGTGAATAAATGACTATTGAGCAACAGGAAAATGGATGCTGAAAAAAGCCTGGCCACCTGCTCCGGCATTCAGCGGACTCAGAGGAGGAAGAGCTGGGCTTCAGTTCACAAAACTGACGGGAACATCTTCTCCTTAAAGGAGATACTACTTCCCGTTCGGAAGAATAAGGAAGTAAGAAAGAGAGAAGAGAGAAATTCTGTAAAACTGAATTAAACCATGCTTAAACCTTTTGCAAGTGAGAAAAATTAACAGCTAGAGTCAGGTCTGGGGCTCTTTTTGGTGTCTCAGGCAGTTGGGGAATTCCAATGAGACAAAAAATATTTTTTTTTTTCTGTCACAGTAATGGTGTCAGAAAATTTCGCTTTTTAAAATGTATTTATCTTTATTTTATGTGTATGACTGTTTTGCTGCATGCGTGTAAGTGCACCCATGTAATGCAATGCCTGTGGAGGCCAGAAGAGAACACTGGATTCCATGGAACTGGAGTTACAGATGATTGTTAACCACAATGTGAGTGCTGGGAACTGAATCTGGGTCCTCTGCAAGAGCAGCCAGTGCTCTTAACTGCTGTGTCATTTCTCCGGCATTCTCTGATCAGTTTCTTGGCACATTA